TCAAAATCTCCCGTCCCAATCACTGCTCCCACCTCCCTTCATATACTCCGCCATTTCTTCCCCACAATTTCTAACCAGAGCGCAAGAGCCCTGTTTTTTGAAACCCTGAATCGTCGTCTGCCGGCGCAGCTCAAGGCACTCGGTATTTAGATCTGCTCGATTGCTCGAACCTAGAATGGAGTGCGGAAGGAACATATCGTTTTTCAAAGACATTAAATCTAGGGAGCTCAACGGATTCAGAGGTACGTCTCACCCCTAATCTACAGATTCCTCACCAGCACATAAATCACCAATATTTTATTTATGCATTTCTGATGGTTTTTGTGTGCTCAGTGAAAAAGAGACCTTTTGTAAGCATTCAATCCTCACTATTCAGTGAAATAGGATCTGTTTCTGTTGAGCACGGAGGTCAGACATCTCCTCCCATGGCTATCTCCTTCTGCAAGGTCTATCTTCTAAACAAAAAAGCACTTTTGCATCTTATTTTAGTGGATTTGTATAACCTCAACCATTGTGTGTCAGCAGACAAGTAATAATTGCCATATAATTGCTGTTTCGGATGAGGGTGGTTACATTAGCTTGTATAATACACGCTCAAAGTTTCTGTCTTCTTCCAATTACCTGGAAAATGCAGGTAAAATCGAGTCCCCAATTTACTATCATGAACAAGGGTATTCATTAAACTGTTTGCCATACATTCATGATTGCATTTTATAATTTGCAGAAAGGGCTAAGATTTCTGAATGGGTTGCACATGAAAATGCTATTTTTGACATTTGTTGGAATCAGGTATCATATCTACATGTTTGTGTTGCTCGGGGGAGTAATGGTGAGAGAAATAGGACTGCAATTTCCCTTGTATTATTTGTGTGGATGTCACATCTTATAACAATAAATGAATTTAACATGTGATAATTTATCTAAATAATTCTTTAAGGTAGTTTTAGAGCATCGTATGTTCTAGATGTACAATTTGGCTATTGTTTTCTACTATGCCAAACAAAAATGAAGCAGCGTGCTAAACCGAGAATTATAAGTTGTGGGTTTTTATTTTCAAGTGCGTCATTTGTTGTGCGGCCTTGTCACAAGTAGTGTGTTTCTCTATATGTACTTATAGCCAAACCATTAAAACCCTAATGCAATTTTTACCTTTAATTTCTTCCCAAGACTTTTCCAAAAGCGCTCTTTGGCTCTTTAAATATGAACTCCAAGGATTTGAAAAACTAATTTCAAGGAATAGGTTACAGCCATATTGTTGGTGGATAATCATGTTAATTTTCATGCAAGGAAAGGCTTGTATAGACAAATCCTTGTTTATTATGGTCTTCAATGATTGTTTGCCAACTACAATATTTGACACACCTTAACAAAACAACTTAATCATCACCTATAAATTAGTGGATGAAACTAATTTTGCCAACAAAATCCCAATAATACTAACAATGAAACTAAAGCATAGTATTTTTTGTGCATTTTCCTAGCCTCTGCTCGCACTTACTCCACCTACATTTTCTGTTAGTCTATGGTGTTTCACCATAGTGACTACATTATTAGGCATATTTCTAGTTGACTACTCGAGCTTTAGTGATGATTTAAGTATACATTATTAATGTTGATGGAATGCCGTCTCTAGTATCTGATACCTGACCCAAATATGTGTGAACTTCCATAATCAGGATTTGAATGGAACATGGCTCTTACATCAAGTAATTGAGATTAATATTACTAGCCCGAATTGAAATAAGTCCTTGTTATGTTTTTTTAATACAAATTGTCACATTTTAATAGTTATCATATATGGATACTTTGCAGGAAGATAGTAATATATTAACGGCTTCGGGCGATCAAAGTGTAAGCAGCTATTTCCCAGCACAATTTTCCTGAATCACATTTCGTATTGGAAAGTTGACACTTTATGTAGAAGTCAATTTGTGTTCAAGTGATATTGTAACGGATATTTGAAAACCTGGTGTAATAAAATAAAAAAGATCAATCACATAATTCAGTAAACAAAGTCTGTACAATTATTGTCTGAAGTTTCATTGAAATTTAGGAAAAAAATTTTGTTAACATGAAAAATTTACAGATAAAGGTATGGGATGCAAATGAACAGAAATGTGTAAGTGCATTGATGGGCCACACTGGAAGTGTGAAATCTCTTTGTGTACATCCTACAAATCACAGTATGTTCGTGATTCTACTACCTATTTATCTTGATTCGTTTTAACTTTTATCCAAAAGGATTGTTCTATATTTCTACACTCATTCTTGATGTGTTATTACTTATGGCAGACATTATTGTATCTGGATCAAGAGATGGGTCCTTTGCTCTATGGGATTTGAGGTGCTATAATAGCAGTTGCCAGAGACTTTGTATACTGTAAGTATTTTTTCTGCTAAGCAAGCATGTTGATTTACAATTTCCAGAACTTATAATTTTCAATAATGCTTAACGCTCTCAATTTATGTTTTTTTTCCTTCTGTCAAATGTAGTTGTAACTTGTGTTATACTTCGTACTTGTTATACCTTCACTTTTTAAGACAAGAACATACTTCCACTTCTAAATTTCTAACATAAACATATGTCATCACTTTGAAGTTTTTAAATCAATGTATAATCTTTCATATGACAACATGTGCCTCATACTTAAAGTTTTGTTTTTCAAAAAATCTATGCTGAAAAGATATTTTGTAATACGGAGCAATTGATAAAGACTAACAACATGATTATGATTATCTTTATTACTTAAAACTAGAGGTGCAAGATGGTACACATTAATAGATTTGATTTTTATGATAAATTAAATGTAGCGGTGTGGTGGGAACGTTTAATTTTTTTAACATTAAAGTTATTTGGTTTTGAAAAATTGAGAAAATAATTAAAAGCATGATGAATTGGTATTTTTGATTTTTTTAAAAACAAAGTAAATGCATCATCAAGCTGAGACGGATGAGTGTGATACAAAAAAGTCCACCTCAATCACACAACAACCTACCTAAGATGCCAATATATAGTGGTAATAATTTCACATATGCATTTTTAATGCACTGCAGCAAAAGCTAATATACAGGAAGCACATTTTTTTTCTTATTATACGTAGCAATGTCATGTACCTCTAGATATGATAAAACATAGAAATGCTAGCTGCATGGTTTTAAAATATCATATTTATTATTATACATCCCTATGCTCTTAAGTTTATTTTAGTTTTTAACTAGTTTCTAAATTGCTTGTTATTTGTTATACTTTTTTTGGAAACAGCTATGCTACCTATATATATAGGGTTATAGTCTATGTTTCTAGCTCTTAGATTCCTCGTGAAATTTCAATGTAAAAGTTGTTATTGTTCTCATTTTACACTTAATATCTATTACTTCTTATTTTTTTCTAATATTACTCTTTGTTACAATATTAATAAAGTGCAACTTCTCACATTCTTACCCTTATTATAAGTACTTAACGTTCTTGCTGTACCGGGTTATATTGTGTGCACTTGAACCTAGACCCCAACAAAGTTGAGATTATATTTGGTTGTTATTAGAAATATTTAATAGACCTTAGATAGCCACATTGAAATTGGGAAATGTTAGTAATTTTTACTCGGTGAGTTTGGTTTTGTTAGACAAGGCGTGCAACTCTAGAGGGGGGGTGAATAGAGTTGTTGAGAATGTTTACCGATTTTCGCAGGATTAAATAAGATAAACGAAAGTGCAGCGGAAATAAAATAGAGAAGGCAAAGAACACACCGATGTATACTGGTTCACCACCTCGTGGCTAGTCCAGTTCCCCGAGAGACTCTCTCGAAGCTACCACTACTTTCGTTAAGCTTACGGGTGCTTAACAAACCGTTTACAACTCGAGAACTTGAATCCCACAAGCCTCGACACAACCGCTNTATTTAATCCTGCGAAAATCGGTAAACATTCTCAACAACTCTATTCACCCCCCCTCTAGAGTTGCACGCCTTGTCTAACAAAACCAAACTCACCGAGTAAAAATTACTAACATTTCCCAATTTCAATGTGGCTATCTAAGGTCTATTAAATATTTCTAATAACAACCAAATATAATCTCAACTTTGTTGGGGTCTAGGTTCAAGTGCACACAATATAACCCGGTACAGCAAGAACGTTAAGTACTTATAATAAGGGTAAGAATGTGAGAAGTTGCACTTTATTAATATTGTAACAAAGAGTAATATTAGAAAAAAATAAGAAGTAATAGATATTAAGTGTAAAATGAGAACAATAACAACTTTTACATTGAAATTTCACGAGGAATCTAAGAGCTAGAAACATAGACTATAACCCTATATATATAGGTAGCATAGCTGTTTCCAAAAAAAGTATAACAAATAACAAGCAATTTAGAAACTAGTTAAAAACTAAAATAAACTTAAGAGCATAGGGATGTATAATAATAAATATGATATTTTAAAACCATGCAGCTAGCATTTCTATGTTTTATCATATCTAGAGGTACATGACATTGCTACGTATAATAAGAAAAAAAATGTGCTTCCTGTATATTAGCTTTTGCTGCAGTGCATTAAAAATGCATATGTGAAATTATTACCACTATATATTGGCATCTTAGGTAGGTTGTTGTGTGATTGAGGTGGACTTTTTTGTATCACACTCATCCGTCTCAGCTTGATGATGCATTTACTTTGTTTTTAAAAAAATCAAAAATACCAATTCATCATGCTTTTAATTATTTTCTCAATTTTTCAAAACCAAATAACTTTAATGTTAAAAAAATTAAACGTTCCCACCACACCGCTACATTTAATTTATCATAAAAATCAAATCTATTAATGTGTACCATCTTGCACCTCTAGTTTTAAGTAATAAAGATAATCATAATCATGTTGTTAGTCTTTATCAATTGCTCCGTATTACAAAATATCTTTTCAGCATAGATTTTTTGAAAAACAAAACTTTAAGTATGAGGCACATGTTGTCATATGAAAGATTATACATTGATTTAAAAACTTCAAAGTGATGACATATGTTTATGTTAGAAATTTAGAAGTGGAAGTATGTTCTTGTCTTAAAAAGTGAAGGTATAACAAGTACGAAGTATAACACAAGTTACAACTACATTTGACAGAAGGAAAAAAAACATAAATTGAGAGCGTTAAGCATTATTGAAAATTATAAGTTCTGGAAATTGTAAATCAACATGCTTGCTTAGCAGAAAAAATACTTACAGTATACAAAGTCTCTGGCAACTGCTATTATAGCACCTCAAATCCCATAGAGCAAAGGACCCATCTCTTGATCCAGATACAATAATGTCTGCCATAAGTAATAACACATCAAGAATGAGTGTAGAAATATAGAACAATCCTTTTGGATAAAAGTTAAAACGAATCAAGATAAATAGGTAGTAGAATCACGAACATACTGTGATTTGTAGGATGTACACAAAGAGATTTCACACTTCCAGTGTGGCCCATCAATGCACTTACACATTTCTGTTCATTTGCATCCCATACCTTTATCTGTAAATTTTTCATGTTAACAAAATTTTTTTCCTAAATTTCAATGAAACTTCAGACAATAATTGTACAGACTTTGTTTACTGAATTATGTGATTGATCTTTTTTATTTTATTACACCAGGTTTTCAAATATCCGTTACAATATCACTTGAACACAAATTGACTTCTACATAAAGTGTCAACTTTCCAATACGAAATGTGATTCAGGAAAATTGTGCTGGGAAATAGCTGCTTACACTTTGATCGCCCGAAGCCGTTAATATATTACTATCTTCCTGCAAAGTATCCATATATGATAACTATTAAAATGTGACAATTTGTATTAAAAAAACATAACAAGGACTTATTTCAATTCGGGCTAGTAATATTAATCTCAATTACTTGATGTAAGAGCCATGTTCCATTCAAATCCTGATTATGGAAGTTCACACATATTTGGGTCAGGTATCAGATACTAGAGACGGCATTCCATCAACATTAATAATGTATACTTAAATCATCACTAAAGCTCGAGTAGTCAACTAGAAATATGCCTAATAATGTAGTCACTATGGTGAAACACCATAGACTAACAGAAAATGTAGGTGGAGTAAGTGCGAGCAGAGGCTAGGAAAATGCACAAAAAATACTATGCTTTAGTTTCATTGTTAGTATTATTGGGATTTTGTTGGCAAAATTAGTTTCATCCACTAATTTATAGGTGATGATTAAGTTGTTTTGTTAAGGTGTGTCAAATATTGTAGTTGGCAAACAATCATTGAAGACCATAATAAACAAGGATTTGTCTATACAAGCCTTTCCTTGCATGAAAATTAACATGATTATCCACCAACAATATGGCTGTAACCTATTCCTTGAAATTAGTTTTTCAAATCCTTGGAGTTCATATTTAAAGAGCCAAAGAGCGCTTTTGGAAAAGTCTTGGGAAGAAATTAAAGGTAAAAATTGCATTAGGGTTTTAATGGTTTGGCTATAAGTACATATAGAGAAACACACTACTTGTGACAAGGCCGCACAACAAATGACGCACTTGAAAATAAAAACCCACAACTTATAATTCTCGGTTTAGCACGCTGCTTCATTTTTGTTTGGCATAGTAGAAAACAATAGCCAAATTGTACATCTAGAACATACGATGCTCTAAAACTACCTTAAAGAATTATTTAGATAAATTATCACATGTTAAATTCATTTATTGTTATAAGATGTGACATCCACACAAATAATACAAGGGAAATTGCAGTCCTATTTCTCTCACCATTACTCCCCCGAGCAACACAAACATGTAGATATGATACCTGATTCCAACAAATGTCAAAAATAGCATTTTCATGTGCAACCCATTCAGAAATCTTAGCCCTTTCTGCAAATTATAAAATGCAATCATGAATGTATGGCAAACAGTTTAATGAATACCCTTGTTCATGATAGTAAATTGGGGACTCGATTTTACCTGCATTTTCCAGGTAATTGGAAGAAGACAGAAACTTTGAGCGTGTATTATACAAGCTAATGTAACCACCCTCATCCGAAACAGCAATTATATGGCAATTATTACTTGTCTGCTGACACACAATGGTTGAGGTTATACAAATCCACTAAAATAAGATGCAAAAGTGCTTTTTTGTTTAGAAGATAGACCTTGCAGAAGGAGATAGCCATGGGAGGAGATGTCTGACCTCCGTGCTCAACAGAAACAGATCCTATTTCACTGAATAGTGAGGATTGAATGCTTACAAAAGGTCTCTTTTTCACTGAGCACACAAAAACCATCAGAAATGCATAAATAAAATATTGGTGATTTATGTGCTGGTGAGGAATCTGTAGATTAGGGGTGAGACGTACCTCTGAATCCGTTGAGCTCCCTAGATTTAATGTCTTTGAAAAACGATATGTTCCTTCCGCACTCCATTCTAGGTTCGAGCAATCGAGCAGATCTAAATACCGAGTGCCTTGAGCTGCGCCGGCAGACGACGATTCAGGGTTTCAAAAAACAGGGCTCTTGCGCTCTGGTTAGAAATTGTGGGGAAGAAATGGCGGAGTATATGAAGGGAGGTGGGAGCAGTGATTGGGACGGGAGATTTTGAGTTGGCGGGAGTTTGAAGGCGCTAAGTAGGGTTATATGGACCGAAAAACTGACCAAACCAGGATGGAATGAATTTTGGGTAGGTCGGTCTAGAGTTCAGGTTTCGATCCCGTTCGTCTAAATCCGAAATGATATAGGTTCGAATCGATTGGATCGAATAACCTTATTAAATCTAAAAGACCTAAATCTGTAAACTCTACTTTTTAAAATCCGTAATACACTTTGATGCTTTACTTGAATAGATATTTTAATTTATTAAATTAAAAATTTTTTTGTAAAGAAATTTAAAAAAAAAGTTTAGCATTAGTTTTTAATCTGTATTATTCTACATAGAAGTAGTCCATATTTTGTATCTATTTTTAGGTTGTCTATTTTTTTCTATTTGTACGCTACAAAATAAAAAGCCTAAAAAATTTTTTTTGAAAGACAAACAATCAAAACCTAAAATATATTTAACTGATCAAAATAATTAAAAAAACATATTTTTATTTGATCCAACCGCTCTAGACTGGTTCGGTTCTAAGTATTTCGGTCTGGCCCAGTCCAAACCTGAATAGATTTAGGTCCGATCTTCAGTCCGTGATTTTAATCAATTCGGTCTTTAGTCTGATCCGGATCGGTCCAGTTCAGTCCAATCTTGGACCGATGAACACCCCTAGTTGTAAGGAAAAGTAATTGCAAAATTATTAGTTACCCAACAATTCAATTCTACATCATTTATACACTAATAGCCTGTTCTTTAGAGCTTGAACTCTTAACTTCTAGTTTCTTCCAGTTCTTTCCATTTCTTTCTAGTTTCTTCCAGTGTCTAATAGTTCTTCCAATTCCTTCCAGTTTTTGCATGTTCCTTCCCGTTTTTCCAGTTTTTTCTAGTTCCTTCCCGTTTTTTTATAGTTTCTTCCAGTTTCTTTCAACTATTTTTATTTTCTTCAAATTCTTTCTACTTCCCGACCAATTATTCTAAAAACGATATCATCATCATCATCATCATAATCATCATCATTATCATTAGTCTTATTATTATTATTATTATTGTAACACCCTGAAACTCGTTCCATCGGAAATAGTTAACTAAAAATAATTAATTAAATATTGAGACAGACCCAGAGTTAATTAGAAATATGTGTCAAAAAATTATAAGAATTTTTCTAGATACATTATTTAATTACAAAGCACAAATCCTTAGATATATAAATACCCCTCCCTAACGTACATGTGCATGTTTACACGCCGCACGAACCTCACCATCTCTCAATTCTCTCTCTCTCTCTCTCTCTCTCTCTCTCTCTCGTTCGACGTAGTAGCACAGGAACCAAGAGAAGAAGAGAAGAAGAAGGAGAAAGAGATCGTCGATGCCCGTCGCCGTCCCGCCATCCAAGCTTTTCATCCATGATTTAGTTTTGTCGTTTTGAGGTGAGTACGTGGAACCCTAACGGTAGAGTAAGCAATTAAGTTTGAAAAACCTATACGATATGTTAATTCGGGATTCTTGGGTTTATGATGAAATTTATAGGTAGAACGCAATATAATTGATATTGCATGATTACGTGATATCGAATATGTGTTTGCCACTGTGTTTGAATGCTGAATTGGAGGAATTGGTGTTGATTCAACGGAGAAACGAGCTGGTGCAGAAAAACTAGAAAATTTGTCGCGGATGGCGGTAGGTCAGTACCGTAGGGACAGTACCAAAATACCGCCATCCTTCTCATTTCAACCTTCCTCTATCGGTACGTGCCACCAAACGGTACCTATGTACCGGGCGAACGGTACGCCCTACTGCTAGGTCCGTAGCGGCTACTGTGAAAAGCATATCGTCCGAGAGCAACGGACATTTCGGACAGTACCCACGTATCGTGGGACGGTACCCTGGTACCATGGGGACGGTACCCTCTACCGTTAAGGGTACCGTGGGATACCTGAATCGAACAATAATTCATGATTCGTCAAGGATTGATTTTGAGGCTTGTGTGTTGCATGATGAGAAGGGATGACAACACCCAGACTAGACCACTATTTGTTGGAATTATGTTACAGGATCCAACACATATGTGACAATGTAAAGTGTATAAGTCTCTTGACTCAAACGCAAGTGGGCTGATCCAGCACACAGTATACAAGTATCGCGTGTTGATCCACCATGTTCATCAAGGTAAGTCTACCTAGAGGGAATCCTCGGGACTGACACAAGTAGTTAATAGGTAAGAGTCTAAGCTATGTGGAGCCTGATGGGCCCAATGGCCAACAGGGTAAAACCGTACGTACGGGTATCCTTGAACCGCCTGGTGGTGCATTAGGTGGGGATTCCACCCACCCAACAGGGAACATCTTCATTGGTTGAGCATGATCCGCTGATCTAGTGAGAACTATCATGACTCCCAAGTAAAATAGTAAGTCCTTAGTCTAGAGTTGACTCTAGGGACAAGTTCCTTGTGATCCACCAACCATGATGAGTCCACAAGTTTGATGAGAATGGAAACGAGCAAGTGCCAGGTAAATTGTGTGAATTGAATTGTATGTGTGATGTTGATTGTGTGATATTACATGATAGTTATGAATTGTGGATTCATTTGACTGTTTACTTGACGTTAGATATTTCTCACTCAGCGTCAAGGCTGAGCGCGTAGTTGTTTGTTTGCTACATGCAGGTAATCAAAGAGATGATGAACCTAGAGCCGATTCCAGAAGGCGATGAGGAGGAAGAGATGTGGGCGAATTTAATTGAGGATTTGGAATTCATATTTATTTCTAAATAACTTATTACATTTTCGGGCACGACGTCCAAGTTGTGCTATTTCAATTATTAAGCTTCCGCACTATTTTATCTTACTCTGATGTTGGGTTTTAAATTAAGAATTGTTGGATGTTTTAATTTGTTTTAAAATTAACGTGTGTTTGGATACCAGAATGGTGGCACCTCGGTTTGCTAACCCATGAATTCAGGTTATGCGGGTTGGGATGTTACAAGTATTATTATTATTATTATTATTATTATTATTATTATTATTATTATTACTATTATTATTATTACACCTATTATGTTCATAACAACAACAACAGTAATAATAATAACAAGATTAATAATTTATAACAACAAGAATTAGAATGAGAATAATATTAAAATATACAAAAAAAGCATTCATTAAGATAACGTGATGACAACAACAACAACAACAATATTATTATTATTATTTTATAATAACAAGAATTAGAATGAGAATCATATCAAGATAAACAAAAAAGTTTAATTTTTTTTAGATTTTCCAATTTTTTCTAGCTTTTTTCAGTTTCATTTAATTTTTTCAGTTTCTTCCGGTTTCTTCCAGTTTCTTCCAATTTTTCTAGATTCTTCTAGTTCCTTATAGTTCTTTTCAGTTTCTTCCAACATCCAGCTCTTTTTTTTCCAGTTCTAAAGAACATGCTCTAAATGCAAACACATTCATTTATGCTTGTTCAGGCACATATATCAATGTTTGTGTTTATAATTGGTATACAAATTATGTATAAATTTTGGGGTACCCTTGATATTCTCTAAAACAATTTGAGACTTTGTTTGGAATTTGGAAGGCTTGCCTATAAGAGCACTAGAAATGTACATGAAACTCTAGAGTTTCAAACATTTTCCCTCTGTCATATCAGCTTTAACCTTCCTTTAACATGCATCATAATTTTTCTGGGAATGGATTTGAAGACCGGGGCTTCAAACCAGAGCTTTAGACCTTTATTTTTTACATTTTGAATACACATCTTATAAAATTAAATTAATAAGATTTCATTATTTTAAATAAAATAATTCATTAATTAAAAATTACATTCAATAAAAAAATTACATTAATAAAATAAGATTTGAATAACAACAACATAAACAAATAAAATTAAAAATTACATGACATTACGAAGATATTACTGATTATTTAAGAGACTAAAAATATGTTCAATTAAATCCGTCGTTAGTGCATTGTGAATCTCTCGGCTTCAATTTTCTTGGTGGTTTCTTTGTATCTTTTCTTTGTTGATTTCTTCATACGTAGGCACATCCTCGTCCAGGTTGTAATGAGAAATTGCAAAATCGTTGTCCTCTGTATTCATATTATGAAGAATAATACATGTGTACATGTCATTTCTCATTTTCGTTTGAGAATAACACTTGGACGGACGACCTTGAATGTGCCACTTACCTTTTAACACCCTGAAGGCTTGTTCGATATCTTTTCTCGCTGCCTCATGAGCTTTTTGTAGGTCTGGCATTTAAGAACCATCGGTTTGGAGAGGAACTTCACAATTGTAGAATAATCTGGATATATTCCATCGGCAAGATAATATCCATGCTTGTAAAGAGTCCCTCTAAGCGCAAAAGACAAGTCGGGTACAGTCTTATTAATATAATCGTCAAAAATGGGAGATTGATCAAGAAAATTGATGTCATTGTTCGAGCCAGCAACACCAAAAAAAGCATGCAAAACCATAAGTCATTCGAAGTCACAACTTTGAGCATAATAGTAGGTTTGGGATGACCATCCTGGGAGAACAGATCATGCCATGAAATGGGACAATTTTTCCATTTTCCAATGTGTGTAATCGATGCTTCCAAACATGCCGACAAAGCCGTGTTTTGCGGAATGCCTCGCCTGTAAGTGTTCAATGTTGCTTGTTTTCGGCTTGAGTATTCATCGAACATATCACAAGTCGTCACATACTCCATCTGACGAAGCGCTGTGATGCACTTCTGGACGCTGGTAAAATTGTGCCGGCTTCTCGCATCAAAGCGTTGGGTGAATCAAGGAACCTCGTGCTCAATATTGGTGAGTATGCATAAAAACAAAGAATGGCTCATCCAAAAACGAGTATTAAAATCTTCTAGTGTGTAAACACATAGAGTATTAAAGTAGTCGTTGAGTAGTGATTCGTGTGCAGCCGCCCAATCGTAGTTTACATGCTCGCCGGGTTGAGCATTGGGATGATTATTGTGTTTTTGGCCTTTTTGCCACCATTGGTAACAATCTATCGTGAAACAACAAAAAATGAGAGCTCCTCTTTTACCGTAAGATGAAAACGATCCCATTTTTGAGTGTTTTCTAGAGAGAATT